CTCAAAGCCTTAAATTAGATTATTTGAATTAGATATGCGAGTTGAGTCTCTACAGTGCCTTGGATTGCCAAGAATTTGTCATAATCCTTGGAATGACTTTTGAGGGCATTACACAACGTGAGCATTAATTGTTCAAAGGCATCCTAGTTGCAAAATAAGAATCATTCCTTCTTCCCAAATTTGCCTCCTTCTGTTTAAGAGGTGATTGAGGTCGACATAAAAGCAAGAGGTAGAAGAGAAGCTTTCTATTATAAAATTCTTCTCTAGCTTTTCATCATTTCATGTAGCCATTGAAAGTTTCCTCCAGTTTTCAGATATCTTGTTAAGAAAGCAATCCACACAACCTCTGAAATATAATGCAACCCTCCCAGCAACATTTTGCATGTGACTCTGTGGCCTAGTTTGGACAACTGGGCTCACATGCTCCCTCTCTCATGTTCACAAAGATGAGAGTGGAAGAACCCCCTTCCTGCTTTAGTTTATATCACTGTTTTCATAAGAACATAAGGAAAACCCACCGTGATCAACCAGAAGCCTCATGGGAAGCCTGCAAGCAGGATATAAGACCAATAACACTCTTCCGCTGATGTTTCCCATCAACTAGTTTTCAGAGGTGTGCTACCTCTAAAGCCATCACAGCTAGTAGCCATTGATATTATTATTTTATTGTGTATTACTTTTATGGGTCGCTCTACACCAGAAGTGTCTCAAAACAATGTATAGAATAAAAACCCATACAAATAAAGATCAAACAACCACCTTTAAAAAACATAGTGTTGGCCTTATCTTGCATGAATTTGTCTTCCTACATTCAAGATAGGAAGTCTGGTTAATTTAAATTGTGATTTCATCAAGAAGGAAAGATTGTGAACAATTGATTGATATGGGCTTGTTGAAAATAAGTATAGTTGAAGCTAACTACTGCTTTGTAATTGCAACAAAGCATGTTTAAAATGGAGAGTGGGTGGTTCTAATCTCTGCCCACATCGGCTTCACACAGAGATATACTGTATGACTGATGCCTGTGATAAGGAGGGTAATATTTTGACCTTGTTGCATACCTCCAGGAATATAAATACACCTCACACACAGACCTAGGCATACATGTACTTAATGACAGTTGCACACAAGTCATGCAAGATCACGGTGAAGACAACAGATGGGTCCAACTGTTTCTATATCCAGTTCCTTTTATGCTTCTATTGGAACATTTCCCCCTATCTTCTGACAGTGTTATTAACTTCAGAGTTTATTAACATCATTTCTATACCACTCAATATATGAAAATATATATCCAAGCAGTGTCCAGAAAACTGAAACACAAAAAACTTAATATTTTAAAATACAGTAAACATATTAAAATATTACATTAAAACATAGCTTATACAAATAAGTCTCCCCTCCACTCATAGTTCTCTCTCCAGCCTCTGCCCCCTTCTTCTCCAGCCGCTTCCTCCAGTAGAGTTATCCACCAAGTCTGTGTGACCTTTTTGTCCAAATTCCAATTCCCAAGATAAGGTGGGTGTATGTGAGTTAAAGGCCCTGCCCAAGGAGATCTGGGCAGAAGCAGGGAGCGGTGGCTGAGCAATTCAGAGATATTTGGAGGTATAGGGTGAGGAACCTCAATCTAAGACAGTATGTCTCCAAAATGATTGGTTGGGGGGGGTGTGAATAACATCACATAAAGAAAATGCCAGGATGAGGGAGGGAGAGAAGGAAGAGGTTTATCTTCCAATCCTGGGCTACAACCTCACCCAACACTTTCCAATCACAGTGCCTGAGAGGAGGAATGTTGATTCTATAAATCATTTGTCCCCACTACCTTTCTTTCTCAGCCTTTAGTTGGTTCTCTAAACATTACAAAGAGTTTAATGGTGCCATTTTGATTCAGCTTGTATTCTATATTTGACCTTAACCTAGCCTTTCTATCTGTTTGTTTTCCTCTCAATTCTTTCCTGTGCTTTCCAATCCAGCCCAAACCCCATTATATAATTGTTTGTTGTCTCTTGTCTGTATCCTTCATAACTGTCATACCAGCCACTCCCCACCCCCAACACACAACTTTTCTCTCCACTGCTTTTTCTCCCATTAGAGGGAGCAATGTGGGACCTGTACCTTTTTGTCCTGTGGCAAGGAAAGCAGCAAGATGATTTTGAAAGGAAAAATTGCTGGCAAGGGATTTTCCGTCCTTCCTCTGCTTCTGATTTCAGTCTCCAGCAACTGCTTTTGAGCTTTAAAAATGTTGGTGGGGAGGTTCATATAGAACTCTGCATAACATGCCCTGTTGTCCTAAGGCAGCACCAAACAGCTCCACACGTAATGTGTTTTTGTTTACCAATAACCTTATTTGAGGGTGAGGGGAAACAGGAAAAGCTGGATGGGTTTAAATGAGTATTCTATTTAGTACTAGGTCTTGTGTTAAATAGTAGGTACATCTGAATGCTTCAGGCATTGAACACTATGCTGTTCTTGGACAGGTGAATGTGTTTAGGCATCTGTGAGGTCAGGTGAGCATCCTGAACACCATACCTAATTGCACTTCATTTTCTCATTTCCCATCTTTCAGCTGTCAGTACATTTGACATGGCTTGTATTTGAGCTGACTTCTAATTAATTTTGAACAGAAAAGTCTAATGAGATACTTGACGAAATGATTTACAAATTCTAATTTGTTTAGATTGACCTTGTTAGAATTAGCATAGCTTGGAGGAGCATGGGCTAAATCCTCATTTCTTTTTCTTCACTCAACAACTACATCAGGGATGACGAACCCGTGGCTCTCCAAATGTTGTAGGTCTTCATTAGACTCTTGGGCTGAGCCATTGTTTAGGGGAGGTTATTTGGGAGCAGGGTAGTTGCTGTTATTGATTTCCATTTGTGAGTGTGGAAATTGTTTCCATTTGGTTGTGTACTTTTAAGAGTGCTTTATATTTATTGTTTAGGACCTACTTTTGTTTTTGTGATCATGTCAATCTTTTACATTTTGTAAGCTGCCATGAGCATGGTTTTAACCATGGAAAAGTGACATACAAATAAATAAATTGTGGCGGTGGTGATGATTATTAGCCCCAGCCAAGGTGACCCATGATCAGTTATGATGAAAGCTGTAGTCCAATATCATCTGGAGGGCCACAGATTTCCCCTTCCCTGAATGAAATATTCATTTTACTATTCAGCCACTTCCAGTATGACTAAGTGAATCCCAGCTGTAGCACACATTATACTTATTGGGGTTCAGATAAATGTGAGAGAAGGTTGTAGGGCTGTACAGGCCAGGGCCACCCCAAATGATGTGTTTGGTGATCATGCCACCAGTTGGCATCCCCATCTTCAGCATGCAATGTGTGTAGAGTGTTTAGGTTTTCTCCCACATTACAGTCATAAATGCCCAAACAGAGGGATTTTTAAACTGCCTTGATTACCTTATGATGCACACTTCTATATATCATATTAGGGGTTAAAAGCTGTTGGCTTGTAGACTTTCTTCTCCGTTATTCATAATTTCAGAGTTACATTTCATCTTATTAAAGATTTTAGAAAGATTGGGTAATTGGAGGCCAACTGTATATTTGTTTAATGTGTATTTGTACAATTTCCCATGTATTTTACTGCCTTTGATTTTTTAAAAAAACCTCTGCTTTTTTCCAAGTTGTCAAAACAGACTATTACTATTAACCTAGAGGAATAAAATTTAAATAATTGCAGACAGCTCATCACACAAAGCCATTCATATGCAAAACATGCTCTCCTTGAGTGAAATGCAGGAGTTAATATGAAAAGTTTCATTTCAAAAGGGAATACTGTCAAATGCAATTCTGCCTAACTGAGGCTGATTTAAAATCATTTTTATTTCAACAGGTTTTCTCCTTTTCTTCAATGTCATGAACATTTTTTCATCTTTTCTTTTTGGCAAACTTCTCATCATTTAATTCCCCCCTCTAATCTTAGCACATCAGTGCAAAACATGGACTGCAGCAAATTAACCACCAACATTCTATCAGTTACTAGGCCAAACCAAAGATACTTTCTTGGACAAGCTGCCACACAAGACATTCTCTTCGCTTCCCTTGCCAGATAGCCGGAACAGTCAACTTTCAACTTCCTGATGACCTGCTGTTTGGAGATAAAGAGTAGTAGTAGTAGTAGTAGTAGTAGTAGCTGGCAAGAAGAGATGGCAGCATTCACCTGACCTTCCAGCAGCTCAGTCACTGCTGTTTATCAGGAAGGGGAGGAGGTTGCAGGGAGAGTGTTGCAGTGCAACTGCACCGGCAGAGCAAGTTCAGCACTCCTGCTGCTGTGTCTGCACTGTACCAACCTCCCTGCTGCCTTGCCCCTTCTCTATTTCCTTGTAAGCAGCAGTGACTCACCCATCACTAAGTCCAGTAAACGCTACAGCTCCCACCATATGGCCTGCTGCTGAAGAAGGGGCTACTTAGATTTATCATTCCCTTCCAAAAAGGCCTCACTCATGTTATATACCTACACAGAGAGAACCCCCAGACACACTGCAGGAGTCATTTGGCTACTTAATTTCAATTCCAGGAGGGTGCGTGAGCTCTACATCTTGACACAAATCACCACTGGTCGACTAGTGTATCTGAATTTTTATTAGATCTTTACATTCCATAGCCTTTATTCCTGTTTTAAATAGGCTATTTGAGTGTGTGTGTGTTTTGGTTAACTTTAATAATAGTTTCATATCCTGTCCCTCCTCCATAGGAACATAGGATGGATGTCTTGCAAAAATAGTAAATAGAATACCATTGTCACAACTGTAAACAATCCAGATAAAATCTTATAGACCTCTGTAAACAAGTCTTAATCCAATAATATGAGCTGGCAAGCATTCCTTAGCCAGCAAAAAATCGGGGAATGGGGATATATGTTGCATTCAGCATGGAAAAAGTTGGTCCTGTGTTATGTTCATCCCATAATTCTGGGCACTCTAATCCACATTGTGATGTCATTGTGCCATATATTTCCCAGCACCACCTACTCCACTGGTAGAGATGGAGAAAAGACATCAGTCAGTGACCTAAACATTACAGGAAGAGATGCAACCAGAGCTACTACAAAGCTCTGTGGAAACCTGGATAACAATGTGTATCTTCAAGTGGTGATTACGATGTGCTCTACACAACTTTGTTGTTATATTCAATGGCTTAAGAAGGTATTTATGCAAGAATCCAGGTTCATTAGGTTTAAAATGGAGGGAAAAACCCTGAGAATTATCTGCAGTCTGATGTGAGAAATCAGCTTCTGTGTTCCCAAACTGCTATTTTGCTATCAAGATTTGCTTGGGACACTTGGGGACATTTTGTGCACTTGGTTGAACTTTCACCTCTGAAAGCAGTACCACCTAAGTCTTTCCTTCATGAACCAAAGCTGATGTGCCACCCTTTGGAGTATATTCAACTGCAGCCCTCTAAATGGTTGGTGCAGATATTCTCCTTTTCAGAAATGGTAATTCTAATGAGAGAAATAGAATGCTAAGTACGAAGTGATACAGTGAAAATGTTACAAAGAAAAGAGCACAACTCCTGCTGGGATATATGCCTGCCTTAACTACCAGAAGACACTCTATCTGTCGCCTTCCAACTCTCTACTAATGACAGCAGATCAGTGCTGTAATGGAATTATAGTTGGCACAGTGCACATTCAGTCGACAAGAAATGAGGTGGAAAAGAAAAAGCCAAAAGAGCATTAGAAAAATAACACCCTACTTCTCACGTCTGCTGAACATAATCAATACCAGTCAAATTTGGCTAGACAGGTGAAGGCACAAATTATTTTTTATTCAGCGCCTGCTTTTCAGATTTACACTTTTTCCAATTATCTCCCAATGTGGCATTGGAAGGATTATTTGTAGCTCTGGCAGAAGAAATAAGTAACAAAAAGCATCTGCTCCACAGTAATCTGATCTGAATTCTCAATCTCTAAAAGCAGAAGAGAGCCAAGGATTTGTGCATTGTAAGATGACTTCTGTACTTGATATAATTTTATTATATGATGAAAAGGAGTAGCACTATCTGCTACCTAACCTAGGAAATGTCAATTGCAACAAAATATTTATTTATGATAGTGTTCACACCCCGTTTGACTAGTCTAGAATCAGGCACCCAAAGATAATTATTGCTAATTGCTAACACAGTAGCAGCTCTGTCTGTGCTTTGGTCACCCATTTGCCTTTCTCTGATGGCAGGTCCTTCAGAGTAGGCATTCTGGGAAATGTTGCAAGCTCATGGCAATGCCTAGATATTGCTTTTTAAAAATACTTTAAAATGTGAAGCTGCTTTAGTAACTTTTTGCTTTTTACAAAATTTAATAGGTAACTTCTAGCTGCACCCACCTTGCCCAGAATCCCTTGCTCTGAAGGACTCTGGGAAGGGGAAGGTGGAGAATGAGACACCACTGATGCTGCCAACCACGTTGCTGGAGACCCAACAATGAGCAAGCAGGGAGAAGTGCAAGCCCATCCCTACTCATAAGTAAATAAATAATAATAATAATTGGTACAAACAGAACCAAGATTCAAATTGATTGTGATGGGTTGGAACACAGGGCCAAAGCAAACAAGATGAAATTCAGCAAAGATAAATCTAAATTCCTGCTTTTAGGTAACAGGATCTAGGCACAAATATAGGAAGATGGAGACCTGGATAGGCAGCAATGCATGGTGAAAAGGATCTAGGTGTTTTAGCTGATCTTAAGCTGGAGAGGGACGCAGGTGGCGCTGTGGGTTAAACCACAGAGCCTAGGACTTGCCGATCAGAAGGTCGGTGGTTCGAATCCCCGCGACAGGGTGAGCTCCTGCTGCTCGGTCCCTGCTCCTGCCAACCTAGCAGTTTGAAAGCACATCAAAGTGTAAGTAGATAAATAGGTACCGCTCTGGCGGGAAGGTAAATGGTGTTTCCGTGCACTGCTCTGGTTCGCCAGAAGCGGCTTAGTCGTGCTGGGCACATGACCCGGAAGCTGTACGCCGGCTCCCTCAGCCAATAAAGCAAGATGAGCACCGCAACCCCAGAGTCGGCCACGACTGGACCTAATGATCAGGGATCCCTTTACCTTTACCTTTAAGCTGGACATGAGTCAGTCGTGCAATGCAATGTAGATTGCATTAACAGGAGCAGAGTGCCCACATCATCAGAAGTAATAGTTCCAGTCTGTTCTTCTCTGGTCAGACAGCATCTAGAATGCCATGTCCAGTTCTGGGTGCCATTTTTAAGAAGCATATACACCAACTGCAGCGCGCCCAGAGGAGAGCAACCAAGATTATGTGGGTTTGGAAACCACATCCTATGAACAACTGTTGAGAGTGTTGGGTATGTTGACCATGAAAAAGAGAGAGAGAACGGGAAACATGGTAAAAGCCTTCAAATATATGAAAGGAGAAGATGGATAAAGCTTGTTATCTGTTGCTCCCATCAGGTATAACTGGGGGCAGACAACAGCGGGGTGCAGGGATAGGATTGTTACCTCCCAAGAGTCATCCAGCCAGAATGCTGGCCTAGACAGAACAGAAGGTTCTGATACTGTGCTCAGTGTGATGATATATTATTCTAATGTGTTGATAAGGACACAAAAAAGCCTAAGGTCAATGCAGTCTGCTGAAACTAATGTGATGCTCATGCACTCAGAAACACTGTATTTCAGTTAATGCTGCATTTTCAACAGCAACTGCGATTTTAAATTACAAGGGAATGAGGCCCTAGCTCAGTGCTTTACCTGAAAAAGGTTTTTGGTCCAGTTCCTGGCATCTCTAAGGATGTCAGGAAGAAAAGGCATCTGCTTCAGACCCCGGGAACTGTAGCTGGCCAAATCAGACATGACTAAACTAGACTGAACAATGGTCTTACTCAGGATACGGCAGCTTCTTCATATATATTTAAACCACCAGTGTAGTGTGTATTTCAAATTCGGGTGTACATACACATGCCAAGAACAGCAGGCAAACAGCACTTTCCTTCAAACAAACTTTTCTGCAAATAAAAAGCTCTGCCGGATAAACCCTCAGGAAATCAATTCCCAAATGGCCAGGCAATCCCCAGTCGCCTGTTTCAGCATTCTTTTTTTTGTCACAAATTGTGTTGACAGCTGGTAGCTCTAACTTTCAAGCCATTGATCTGCACAATGCATATTGAGCAAGATGCACCTTGTTACAGGGTGCCCTTACACTCAGAAGGAAGCGGTGGATAACAGCAAAAGCCCCAGAGACCTGACAGATGGGTTATTTGTATGCATCCTTCCTTGACAGCCGTAGGTTCTGTGACATATGGAAACCACAATGGACATGCTTTGATTGGGGATAAAAAAAATACTTAGCTTAATGAAAAGGACAGGGATGGAGCATTTGCACGTCATGATACAACTGTTTAAAAACTAAAGGGCCATGCATGCCTTCTGAAAAGGCGTGAGAATCATATGCGGATCATCTAAAATATCAAGGCAGAGGAAGCTACATGTTTCTTGTCTCCTTGATCACAAATCATGGAGCAGCAACTAAACAGAGCAGGGGGAGAAATAAAACCTGGTGTGTCTTTGCCAAACATTGGGCAGTGAAGTTTTTCAATATGTGTTTTCTTATGACAATATTTAAACTATCATACCCTTCATTTAGAAATACAGTGGTACCTTGGGTTACATACACTTCAGGTTACATACGCTTCAGGTTACAGACTCTGCTAACCCAGAAATAGTGCTTCAGGTTAAGAACTTTGCTTCAGGATGAGAACAGAAATCGTGCTCCTGCGGCGCGGCAGCAGCAGGAGGCCCCATTAGCTAAAGTGGTGCTTCAGGTTAAGAACAGTTTCAGGTTAAGTACTGACCTCCGGAACGAATTAAGTACTTAACCTGAGGTACCACTGTATGTGTTTATAGTATTGTTGTTCCTAACTGATTTGTATTTACGTACCTAGATCGGGTCTGGATGCGGAGTAATGATTTAGGGCAATATAATCGAAACATCCACACACACAAATGAAGATCTTGAGCTAATGTGAAAGTTTGGCGAGAATAATGTCTTTAAAAAATAAGAGAATACCACACCTTGCCATGTGCCTTTCTTCACAGAATTTTATCTTTAACATAATAGCTTCATTTTTCTAGTGAATTTGGTGAGGAAGCACATTAGTGTTGCTACATGAAAGTGAATGTCACAGGATTTGAAACCATTTTTGCAACATTCTCAGTCAAATCCAGCGGTCTGGGAAATTGCTTGAATATCCATGTATCAACATATTTATCTCAGCCCTGGCCAAGAAAGATATATAGTCTGCTTGCTCAGAGCCAATGCCCGCAAGTCCAAAAGTGCTCTCGCTCTTGTAATATGGTATGTGTATATTCAACTCACTACTTTTCATTAATTTCAGTATATACACAGTGAACTTAGAATCATAGAATCATAGAGTTGGAAGAGACCACAAGGGCCATCGAGTCCAACCCCCTGCCAAGCAGGAAACACCATCAGAGCACTCCTGACATATGGTTGTCAAGCCTCTGCTTAAAGACCTCCAAAGAAGGAGACTCCACCACACTCCTTGGCAGCAAATTCCACTGTCGAACAGCTCTTACTGTCAGGAAGTTCTTCCTAATGTTTAGGTGGAATCTTCTTTCTTGTAGTTTGGATCCATTGCTCCGTGTCCGCTTCTCTGGAGCAGCAGAAAACAACCTTTCTCCCTCCTCTATGTGACATCCTTTTATATATTTGAACATGGCTATCATATCACCCCTTAACCTCCTCTTCTCCAGGCTAAACATGCCCAGCTCCCTTAGCCGTTCCTCATAAGGCATCGTTTCCAGGCCTTTGACCATTTTGGTTGCCCTCCTCTGGACACGTTCCAGTTTGTCAGTGTCCTTCTTGAACTGTGGTGCCCAGAACTGGACACAGTACTCCAGTTGAGGTCTGACCAGAGCAGAATACAGTGGCACTATTACTTCCCTTGATCTAGATGCTATACTCCTATTGATGCAGCCCAAAATTGCATTGGCTTTTTTAGCTGCCGCGTCACACTGTTGGCTCATGTCAAACTTAAGTGCTGCAAAAAGTTCCTTGCCCTTGCTGACAGACCATTTCCCACCACACTGGCCTAAATCCATTCTATATTTTTATACTTCAGCCACTCAGAGATTCCCATCCCTCCACCTTCTTCATTAAATTTCATTGTATTTTCTTCTGTGCTTTCTGCTGCTCTCAGATCTTCTCAGTTCCAGCTGCTCTCTGATCCTTTGTTCAGTCTTTGTTCTTACAGCAACTGGGCCATTTATTACTATTTCCCTTTTGGACTTGAGGGAATTTTCTTTTGTAAACGTTTCCACAGGTTCAACATTCTTTTTTGCTGGAGTACTTTTCTTAGCTGCTGCATGGAGGTGCACCCAGTGGGATTCTTTCAAGTAGTGAACCTTCAACAACTAGAAATGAACTTCATGCATTGTGCAGTCCCAGTCTACTGTCTGTCCAAATTTGCTGGTGTCAGAATGGATGGACAAGGTGGAAAATGCAGAAATGTGCAATAGAATAGGCCTGGCCCTATCATTTGGCCAAGGCAGATACTGGGGAGCAGGGATAGGCAGAGATGTGTTGAAGGACAGAGCTCCCACATGAAATAGAATAGTAGAGTTGGAAGGGACTATGAGGGTCATCTAGTCCAACCCCCTGCAATGCATAATTCTTTTGCCCATGACCTTGTCCTACTGCCCTCAGAGACAGTGGAGAATGCTGACGCATCAGCAGTTTTGAGAAAAGATTCAAGTGTCAGTCCAGTTGGATTCTGTATGTAGAATGGAGGGGCCACCATCTTGTCCTTTGCCTGAGGTAGCCAAGTATCTGGAGCCAGCGCTGAAAGGAATCCTATGAACTAGGAATCCTGAGGGAGCTCATAAATTGTCATAGTCATTAACTCCAGCTTTTGCTGGTACTGTCGACCAATCAGGTAACTTCCCCGACTGTCACTATTGTACAGGTATGATTCAACTGTATACCAGCAAATTTAGGTTGTGAAATTGAAGTAGATTTGCTGCTTTTGTGCAGGAAACCCACATCTTTTGCAGCAGGTCAAGGTGGAGATTTTGTGATAAGAAAAGTGACAGGATAAAGCACTGGAAAGTGTGGGATAATGATGACATTAGATAACCACCGCACACACATGAAAACCCAAACATCAATGCACATGAACATTGTATAACTTCCATACAATTTTTCTGCAAACAATTCTAGGCCTTCCAAGTATCTATTTTCCAGGGTCATCCCTGATTTAGAAAAGCCATCCCAGTTTCTGATTTGATCCGGGAATGTCCCACTTTTCCTTAGGATGTCCCTATTTTCATTGGGAAAATGTTGGTGGGTTATGCGACCCCCAAGCTGCCTGAAGGCAATCCTGTATAGGGAAGGTTTTGTAAAAAAAATAAAAATGTTTAATGTTTTATTATGCTTTTATATATCCTGGAAGCTGCCCAGAGTGGCTGGGGCAGCCAAGTAAGATGTATGGGGTATAAATAGTAAAATCATCATTATGGAATGGGACATCCC